TGCCATGTGATCTGGGCTACCCATCGGGAGCTTGGTGTCATCTGACCCATCAAGTCGTGCAGTAGGATGTGTACAGCAGCAATCTATTATCAAATGCAAGTGGGGTATACATGATCAGGCCTGAACAGGTCTTGAAGGTTCAATCAAATTACATGAAGAAACTTCCCAAATGCCTATGGTTTCTACTCCAGTTACAGCACCATCTGCTGCCAAGCATGTGCCTGTAGCCTCATGGGGTGTTCCCTACCATATGCTGACTGAGGAAGAGAAGACTAGGCCCTCCCTGATTTACTGATGTCCCTACACATTGTGCTGGTACCCAGAAGTAGACAGCTTTAGCACGTCAAATCCTTTCTGGGACAATCCTGAAAGACACTGGTCTAGAGGGAAATTTTCAGTGGGCAGAACTTTGGGCAGTGCACGCGGTTATACAGTTTGTTTGGAAGGAGAAATGGTCAAATGTGTGTTTGTTCACTGATTCACGGGATCTAGCCAGTGGATTGATCGAATGACCAGGCACTTGGAAAGACCATGATTTGAAAATTGGTGAGAAAGATATTTGGGGATGTGGACAGATCTCTCTGCAGATGGGCAAAGAGTGTGAAGATACTTTTGTCCTGTGTAAACGCTCATCACAAGGTGACTTCAGCTGAGGAGGATCTTAACAATCGAATAGATAGGATGACCTGTTCTGTGTACAGTCAGCCTCTTTTCCCAGCCATTCCTGTCATTGCCCAATGGACCCATGGAAAAAAATGGCCATGGTGTCAGAGATAGGGGCTTGTACATAGGCTTGACAACATGGACTTCTGCCCACCATGACTGACCTGGCTACAGTTGCTTCTTGGTGCTAGAGGTGCCAACAGCAGAGACCAACACTGAGGCTCAGATCGAGTGCCATTCTCCAGGATGACCAGCCAGCAACCTGGGGGCACGTTGACTACATTGGACTACTTCTTCCTTGGAAAGGAAAATGTGTAGATACTTATTCTGGTTATGGATTTGTCTTTTCTGCACATAACATTTCTGCCAAAACCACCATCCATGGACTTACAGAATGCCTTATCCTCTGTTGTGTTATGCCACACAGTATTGCTTCTGACCAAGGAACTCACTTCACAGCCAGAGAAGCGTGAGTGAAAGTGGACCCATGATCGTGCAATCCAGTAGTCTTACCATGTTCCTTACTACGCTGAGGCAGTTGGCCTGATAGGAAGGTGGAATGGCCTTTTGAAGACACAGTCACAGCACCAACCAGGTGGCAGCCTGAAGGCCTGGGGCAGGGTTCTCCAGAAGGGAATATATCTTCTGAATCAGCATCTGCTGTACGGCACAGTTTCGCCCATTGCCAGGATCCGCAGGTCCAGGAGTCAACAGGTGGAAAATGGACACGTTCCACTCACTATCACTCCAAGTGACCCACTAGGAACATTTTTGCTTCCTGTTCCCATGACCTTAGGTTCTTCTGGCCTAGAATTTTTGGTTCCAGAGTGGGGAGTGATCCTGCCAAGAGCCACAACGAACATTCCATTGTAGTGGAAGTGCAGACTTCCCCCTAGTCACTCTGGGCTTCAAATGCTCTTAAACCAGCAGGCTAAGAAAGGAGTAACAGTGTGAGGTGGGGTGACTGATCCAGATTATCACGGGGAAATCGGATTGCTTCTCCACAATGGAGAAAAGAAAGATTATGCCTGGAGTGCAGGAGATCCTTTGGGGCATCCCTTGGGTCTTGTGCCCTGTGATTAAAGTCAATGGGAAACTGCAACAGCCTAATCCAAGCAGGATGACAAGGGACACAGACCCATCAGGAATGAAGGTGTGTGTCCCTCCTTCAGGGAAGGAGCCAAGACCTGCTAAGCGTGGTGTAGATACACAATGGGTAATGGAGGAAGGTATAAATACCAGCCAAGGCCACGTGACCAGTTACAGAAGTGAAAACTGCAGTTGGCATGGGTATATCTGTTTTATTTTATTAGAATGGTTTTGTGCAGGTATTTCTGCTTACTCTCCATTTCTTTTCCATGTGCCATAACATCAACTCAGAGAATACCAGGGGTTATCATATTTAAGTTCAAGACACTAAAGCCGGGCACTCGGAGGCAGAGGCAGGCGGATCTCTGTGAGTTCGAGGCTGGGCTGGACCGACAGCCTCCAAAACAATACAGAGAAACCCTGTCTCGTAAAACCAAAAAAACAAAAAACAAAAAAAACAAAAAACAAAAAAGTTCAAGACACTAAAGGAATGTCCCCCAAGGGAGAAGGAGAAAGGTTTATCCACTGTTAGTAGGAGTGACACCTTGTGCAATCCACTATGGAAATCAGTATGGAATCCCCCCATCCCAAACTAGAAACAGATCTAGATACACTACTCCTCCCATGCACCCAAAGGACACTGCATCCTCTACAGACAGAGATAATCATCCCTTGCTGCCTTCCTTATTCACAAGAGCCAGGAAATGGAATCAGCCTGGACATTCATCAACTGGAGAATAGATAACAAAACTACATTCATCTATGATTTGAGCTTTATCCTGCCACCGACCCCTGGTAAGCTCAAATTCCTTATTGTCATTTTCTCTATCTTCTATAAGCAGCAATTTCACACCCGGTAGACACGTTCAAAAGGCAAAATCCCCATGCAGAGGCTCTCTTAACTGTGTGCTTTCAATCCTAAGAGCCATCACTGCCGGCTTCTGCGGGTGCACAATTAAGATTGCTCCAAGGCTGTACAACCACTTCCGAAAGTTGGGGTTGGGAATCCACGAGTTGGGGCAGACACCGGAAACACAAGGGAGGACGCCTTCTGCACTGAAACCAAGAAGCAAGGGAGACAAGCCCTGCACTTTCCCAGTCTTCACACTTCTAACTGCGGTCCAGTCTTGCGGTTCCCACCCTGGGTGGTGTGCTCAGTACCTGCAGTTCAGGGTGCTCTCCGCCGCCTCCTCCTTCCCTTGGCTGCCTTCTTTTTCCCAGATGGCTTATTCAGTGCCCATTCCTGCGCTCCTCTCGTGGGACTTTGGGCCTTGAGTCTATGCTAATGATCCATTAGGTTTCTCTTTCTTTGGATTAGATCTCTCCGCATAATTTATCCCCCCCCGCCCACTTTCCACCTGTCTACCTAAGTCTAACCCGACTGAAGTGACGTATGAGTCTAGATCTGAACAAATCTGCAGGGACGTGGGGGCCAGAGGGCAAAGGTGGTGTTGTGGAAGAAACAGCAGACAGTTCAGCTTGTCCACAGGAAAGAGCAGAGGGTTTGTCAACAGGCAGCTAGGGAAGAGAGTAGCAAGGCACGGTTGGGTGGTGATGGAGCCACAAAATTTAGAGCCTGGTGAGCCCTGGATTTTATTAGGGTCTCTTTGTAACTAGGGTGTCTGTGGAGTGTTGAGGCCATAGGAGACTCGAGCTCTGGTTGCGTTTTTAAATAACCTCTCTGATGACAGAAAGGCAGAGCTAGAAGCAGGGAGGAGGGCTCGTGTGGAGAAGACTCTGCAGCCCTTTCAGGCAGGCGAGGAGTCGACATAGCCAACCAATGCCCACCCAAAGGTAGAATGACAGAAACTGCTTTCCTTAAGATGAGGATGAAAGTAATACGGTTGTCACAAAAGCCATTAAATAAAACTTTCAGAAAGAGATAATATTTAATGTAACTTTCCTTTGACCCTTAGTCTTCCTATTGCTTTGGAGTATATCTTGCGATGTTGCACAGTTTGGCCTTGGAATCTAAGGCTCCGCTGGTCCTCCTTCCTTAGCTGGGACAACAGGCATGCACCACCTCTTATGGCTGTCTGTCCACCAACTTTGTGAGGGTGTTTGAAGGAAAGCTCGTTTTTTTGTTGGAGAAAAATTTAAAGTTAAGCAGATATTTTAAAGATGGCCAAGGAGAACTTTTAAGAGTTCAGAAGTAAAAACAAAACTGTCGCATATTATGTATTATACTCTGATCTGAAGCTTATCAGCAGGATAATTGTTCTCTAACTGTGAGGACCTGAGTTCAGTCCCCAGCAGCACCATAAAACGAAACAAAAAAAAGTGCTGAGCATGACAGAGACAGGCGGAGGGTGGGGCTGGCCAGCCAGTCAGCTGAACCCCTCACAGAGGCAGCTGTGAGATCCTGTCTCCAAAGCAAGTGAAATGCAGTTCATGAAAACACTCAATGTCAACCTCTAGCCTCTCCAGTCACAGGAGAATGTACACCTACATGCAAACAACACAATCCTCCCCGGCACACACGTATACACATATAAGCCACATATCAAACAGAGACAGAAGACCAACTTATGCATGATTGTACTGGCTAGTGTTACGTGTCAATGTGACATCGGCCCAAGTCATCTGAGAGGAGGGAGCCTCAACCGAGAGGATATGTCCATAAGACTAGTCGTAGGCAAGCCTGTTGGACATATTCTTAATTAGTGTTTGATGGAGGAGGACCTGGTCTATTGTGGGTGTGGCCACTCTGGCTGCTTGTTCTGAGTTCCAGAAGAAAGCAGGCTGAGCAAACCAGAGGGAGCAAGCCAGGAAGCAGCACCCCTTCAGGAGGTCAGTTCCTGCCCTGTTTTGAGTTCCTGTCTTGACGACCTTAGATAAACAGTGGCACGGATGGAAGTGTACACCAAATAAACCCTTTCCTCTCTAACTTGCTTTTTGGTCATGATACTTTGTTGCAGCAAGTGTGACCCTATGGTACATCTTAATGAGAAGGGAAAAAAGTATGAAAAATAAAAGGAAGGATTAATAATTATGGGTGAGAATGCTTCTAGGCCTTGCAGAAGACAGCTGGAGACAGATAGGAGCATAAACTACTTATACTTGAATTAACTCATCGCGACATAGTACCATTATTGTACAGGGACTAAAAAGTATGAAAAGTTCCTCTGGTTGTTTTAGCATCAAAATCACTAACATACCTTACACCATCCAGGGGATTCAACTAATTTCCCACTCCAAAATGTGTTCAGATATTAAAGACAGGAATTTTAATAAAGGATGACTTGATGTCAACTGGGAAAACATATTCAAGCTTTTAATACATGGTTGGTTTCAACCTTTATGAAATGGGAAATGTGGAGACATATAGTTCCTAATTACACACTTGTTACATATTCCTTTTACCACTGAATATATCATAAAACTGGTATGTGCATGGATATGTACCAAATAGACATGCTACACCATTCTGGATAATAATGTTACAATGTGGGCAACCTCCTATTTAAGATTCCACAAAAAATTTCACTGAAGAACTCAATCTGTAAAATTATAGACAATGACATTTAAGCTTGAGCATACTGAACAAGACAATATTAAAATATCATGTAATAATTGCAATGCCACTACTTCATGTCCTCTTCAACTTAATTCCTTTCCGAACAAAGAGGTAAATGCATGCTAACCACAGCAGTATCTACAACAGTAAGGAAGTTCATAAGTGTTCAAAATAATTACCAAGAAAACTGTCATGTATTTATATCTTTTCTGGCCAGAGAAATTATGCTAACAGCAGGCTAGCAAGAGTCATTCCTAATTCTCATGAACATGATTCTAGCTACAGTGTAGGCAGGGCCTTAAATACATTTCTCACTACCGCATCTATTTTTAATTTCCAATTCAACACAGAATTCTTAACTCACTGACTCTAACTTGGAGGCAATTTGCAGAGTCTTAGGTTAAAACTAAGCCTTTACTGAGTGCTTCAGTTTTAACGTTTGCCCCAGCAATAATAATAACAACAACAAAAAAATAGATCTCTCAGAAAATCTGCTGAGTTTTCCTTCCCGAATATCCAGAATCAATAAGTCAGCACACCCGCAATGACAGTGCTCTTTTAACCAGGGAGTAACAGCAAAAGGCGTGCCGTCAGCTAACCGTGGTGTGCAGAGGGTCCATGAAGCCGACCTCCTTCAGAAGAGAGAACATTTCTTAATATTTAGGCTGCTTTGTGCTTGCTTTGCTTTTTAAGACAAACAGTGCTTCGGTCTTTTCATTCTTGGTAATACTTCATGTCTGGGTGTGAGAAATGGTCCTGTTGACAAAGGAAGGCGTCGCCACCTGGAATTGCATGTCCAGACACACAAGCAGGGCACACTTTCTTCTCAGGTTCCTAAGGTATGCATTTAAATCATTCTTTCTACAGACAGGTACGGGTATGGAATTCAGACGAGCTCCATCATTCCGACACATCCCGAGCACAGGAAGCGGCTTCCTCTAAGACAGGACTTTCTCACAGAGGCTTTTCCATAAGCTTGATGATGGTGGGACCATTTCCGATTCTGGAGAAGCCAGAAAGGAACAAATGAAGAAGTTCTTTGAGAGATTTTTTTTTTTTGAGATTGGCTTATACAATGTATTCTTGGCTGCCCTTGAACTTAGAACGTACTTCAGGCTGGCTTTGTTCAAGATCCTATCTGGGCCGCGCAAATGATTACAGGCATGGGCCAGCATGCTCCGCTGTGCCTTTCCTTTCTAAGGTGCCCATGAAAAGCTACAATATGATGCTGGAAGAACACAATGACTTTAGGGGCACACGGGGTTTGTTACAGTCTGAAAGGGCCCTGAAGGGAGCCGTTTACTGTGCCTGGTTACAGTAGTTCCACAGGTACATATCATATGAACATTTCTTATAGCTGCTAACCTACAGCTGGCAGCTTTTAATACGAGTATGCTATACAGGTCAAGCATGTATACTTGCGTGGTTAAGAGAGTGTGTATTTGTGTGTGTGTGAATATATATACCCAACAGAACTCCCACAGATCTAGTGTTCCTAGTTTGCTTTCTGAGTTTATTTCATCTTACAGGTCCCAGTAACAGTCAAGGGAAGCCAAGGCAGAAACTCAAGCAGGGCGGGAATCTGGAGGCCGGAACCAAAGCAGGGACCATGGAAGGATGCTGCATTGATCATGGAAATGAGCCACTCCAAGGATGTCAGGAGAAGGTAGTTGGGAGAAGGTGGTAGGATATTTATTCATATAGAGAGAAGTAACTTACATGAGGAGCTGAGAATCAGGGTCAGCGCTCTATGGTCTCCCAACCTTGACCGGAATCCAAGAGGGTGGGGTCCCCTGTTTTATTCCTGGTTTCTCCCACATACCTGTGACCACGCCCCTTTGGGCGTGGTCAGTGCTGCGGGTCCGTGAGACCCTCTCCCTACACTGCATAATAGTTTGCTCTCCATGGATTGCTCAGCTTTCTTCCCCTCCCCCCCGCACAATTCAGGACTACCTACCACCTTCCCACATCAATCAGAATGACTACCGAGTTGTCTACATCCAGTCTTATGCAGGCAGTCTTTTTAGCTCTTCCCAGATGACCCAAGTCTGTTTCAAACTCCCAATATTAACCAACACACCTAGCAACCTCACTTCTGGAATATATCCGTAGAAATTCAAATCAGCGTGCCCACACCTCTGTGTTCATTTCATCGTTACTCACAATCATCTGACAACAGATGATTGACAGGGTAAGGAGAATGCAACACATACACTGAGAAGAATGCCATACAGATGATAAATACATTATATATATACTATATATGTATATATATATATATATCATGGATTCAACAACACCTTGTGCACATGGGATTGTGTTACACCAGGAAACTTTTCCAAATTGTACTGTACTTACATATGCTTAAAATAAGCCCAGGATCAGACTCCAGAAGTTTGAGCTAACACCAGATACTGTGTCACGTTGCACTGGACTTCCTTCCTGCCTCTTGGGAATGGTTACATCTGCTGGCCAATGGCATTTGCAGAGACCTCATGTCATGTATTTGGGCATCTGGTAGTCTCTGAAACGTGTTGAGCATATTTCGTGAATTTAAAGAACTTTTGACCTCAAATCAAGATGAGAAATATAGCTTATGCCTGTAAGGCCAGTACTCGAGGAGCTGAAGCAGAAGAATCGGACAGTTGTCGGGCCACGGCGAGCATGCTTATCCGAAGGAGTTCAGAAATGAAGCCTTCCTTCCCTTGTTCGGGAAAGAGCTGACACTGTAGCACCTGTGACCCTCCTGTCCACCCAAGAATGCATGCCTTAAAGAAATAACAGAAACCTTTGTATCTTGGAAACCTATGACCCACCCACAAGAAGCTAAAACCGCCCCCCAGACCCTTACAAACGGAGCAAGGCTGTCCAAGCCACCCTGGAAAAGCCCAACACTGCTCTGCGGACTGTCTGCAACTTACCACACCGCTGCCAGTGACTTCCAAAGCCCTTCCCCCACATGCAGCTTGTGATTGGTAGTCATGGCTGGATTTTTGCTGGCGGCTCGTGTTCTAACCATCCTTCACCACTCTCAATCTTCCTTCAGAAAGAAAGAGGTTTTGTTAGTCACCCACTTGCAGGGTGAGAAATGAGTGTGGAAAAAGAAAGTCGTCTTTCTGAGAAATCTCTGGAGGAATTCTGGCCCAGTAGTTACTTCTAGTGCATCTGTTCCTTACAGGTCCCTCTCTGGAGTGTTCTCAGTAGTTAAGTAACTGATCCTCTGCCCGTGCTCCTCAGGGAGAAACTGGTAAGAAAAAAAAATTAAGGTAAGCTGAAGGACTTCCATAGCAATGACTTAATTATAATTTAATCAATAATTTACTGATCTGTAATAGTTTGTGGACACATGCAGGCGTGCACTACATTTTGAATGAGCACTCCAAAGTGCCGTTTTAACTGCTTTCATCCCAATGAAAAATAATCTCTAAATTGAGTACAAAGGTTAAGATAAGCATTTTTCAATGTTCTGCTGGACCTATCTCTGTGTAACAAATTGCTTCTAAAACTGAGAAGCTTAAGACAATAAAAATGAGTTATGTTGGGTATGGTCAGGAATTCAGGATGACTTAGCTGAAGAGATCAATTCAGCTGCTCACAGAGTTGCCATGTGACGTAGCTCTGATAACGCTAAAGTTTACCTACACAGTAGCAAATTAATGCTGCCTGGGGTGGGGGATCAATTCTTCCTGTAAGGACCCCTAGAGTTTTCCTGCTGTCCCCTGGGGAATATAATATGGTAGACAACACAACGAAAACTAATGACGATAGTCAATGCTATAGGGAATACAATATATTTAAATTGTAGGAGTGAACCCCACAAGGTTATCCGCCCATGAGGGTGGGGACAAGTAAATTAGCACACGTAGAGATAAAAGGAAGCGATGATAATGCTATAAGGGATACAATATATTTATTTACCAGAGAGAGAGAATCACACAAGCTGGGAGTCAGAAGCGTGGCCAGCTTCCAAAAGAGGAGGTCCTTTTTCCTTTTCCTACCTGTGCTAATTTACTTGTCCCCACTCTCATGGGCGGATAACTTTGTGGGGTTCACTCCTACAGAAAACCTTTGGGCGCTGGCCTGTCTTCCGCACAGTGTCCTGTTGGTTCTAGAACTCAGTGGCTTTGCAGTGTGGAATCTCACCAAGCAGGGGGAGAGCGATAAGACAGGCATCAGAGAAACCCACCTGCAGCCTGGGTACCGCTGTGCTCCTGGGCCTCTAACTACTCACCACATTCCTCCTCATGCCCTAACAGTTAGCTCACAACCTTGTCACCAAAGTCAGGCCCATGTGCCGGTGAGGCTCTGCCAGTTGACCCCTCGGCGATGGCTCTTCACGCATTAGCTTCTCCCCATCTGAAGGCCTAGAGCTGGGCTCTGCGACCAGGTTCCACGAGCATGCTCATCACACCACGGGAGTGCGCGCGCACATGCAGTAACTGCCTTGGATATTTCCCCTGAAAACCAGGGAACCTAAGACACGAAGGAGGTCACAGCTACAGTACGTTGGAAAGCCCTCCGGGCAAATGTTGGGACCGGAAAATTCCCACATGCGCTGGTTTTCTAATGAAGTCCCATTCCCTCACGTCTGCCGTGTGCTGTTGGCACAGAGGCTAGATCTAGTCTTTCTGGGGACTGCATCTGCACACGGAAAAGCATGAAAATCTCTGTTCAGGTGTTTGATAGTCTTCCCTTTTCGGTGGTTTATGTTTTGGGTTAGTTAGATAGCAGACAGGTAAACTGACACCGCTTATACACCACAGCACCTGTTAAAGACACCAACAAAAAGCATATCCAAGGCTTCTGAAGAGGCAGAACAAATTCAGGCATCATCTATTCTGTAGGAGGCTTCTAGCTATGCTTTTTGCCTGTTGGTGAAGCACTCCATGGAGGTCAAAGACAGTGATGACTTTTTTTTTTAATTCATATTAGTCATCCAAGGTAGTCCCAAGCTTAAACATTTGGTGCTAGGAATCCTTCACTGGCAATCAAGGATTTACTAGTTAGTGGTCATGTGTCCTTGGACAGGTTGTTTCCTCAGCCTCCTCTTCCTCTCACAGACACTGAAAAGACTAAATATGACAATGGCTGTGAAGCATCGGTGCACTCAGCTCAGAGCAAGTCCTGAAATTATTATCATTACCTAAAATTATGGGAATTATCAGATCATTGCGCTAACTCTTCAGGTAAAGTTTTCTCATCTGTAAAATTAGAGGTTGCTCTTCATTTCTCCGGCTCCGTGCAGCTCTTTAAACCTACAGTTTTCCAGCTGGGTTACCTGAGCCGTTTCCCTTTCCCCAGTAATCGTTGCATTTGCCCAGCATTTGTAACTTCAAAATCTGTGCATAGCTATTATCCTTTAGATTCTTCTTGTCGTTTGGTGAAGCAAGAATGCAAGGCAAGCAGTGTCGTCTTCATTTGACTACGAGGGAAACGAGACGAGATGATGAACAGTTGTAGCCAGCCCAAAAGGAACTGATTGCAAAGTTAGAACTGAAGGACTATGACTCTTAGGAGGAACACACACACACATACACATGCGTGCATGAATACACACACACAGACAGACAAACAGACAGACAGACAGACACACACACACACACACGCCCCCTTCCTCCGGGCAACATGGCCCAACTTAGTATTCAATTTACCTTTTTTGTTTTTTTCAGCTCAGAAAATCCAAGAAACATAGCTGTTAAATTTTCCCAGGGAAGGCTAAAGACATTCATTATAAATAAATAGTTTTCACCGAGACCAAATGGTAGGCAGGAAGCGGAGTCTATTTCTTCTGTCCACACCCATCTGAAAAGGAACGTTCCCTTTGACCTCTGCATGACACATTCTGATGTCATATCTATTGATACCTCTCTGTTTCGTCCGTTGAGCAGCAGGATGTGAGTAACTGTTTACTCCGTTAGTTTCTCTCTTGGCTCTTGTTTCCGGTTTTAGCCAAGATTTTAAGACGGTGGTCGGGGCTATTTCCTCTCAATCCTGTGCAGAGATCAATGACTAGGAAACCTGTCCAGAGAATGAGTTTTTCTCAGGGTGCCTATTTACTTAGCTCAGGCTGGTCACTGAGGTATGGGAGTCAGCACGAAGAGGCTCAGGAGATGCTATAAACTTCCCCCCCCCATGTGAGACACTCCTGCTCTACTAAAGACCCAGTGCCCAAATGGTCACATATTGGCTTTTCTCTGATGAGAATATCTGTCCACATCTCATTTCTGCATGGCAAAGAGTTCCCTAAACAAGGGGCACCAACTCAATTAGCCTTTTTTTCAGTCAAGGCACTAACTGTTATTTTAGCTCCTACAGACAGTGGCTGTCCCTGCTTTCAGTGATTACTGGGCATGGTCTGTGCTTATTGAATTACTGTGGTTGGTGAGACAACTTTCTTTCTCATTTTAAAACTATGGTAAAGAACATGTCATCTGGGGAACCCTGCCGGCTGGAAGAAGATGTACCGGACTATAAATGACAACGTAAAAGCCCGGCTATGCCTTTACCAAGTCTGCACCTGCATTTCCGTCTTCATCTAAGGAAATTCTACTTATTTATAGAACACTGCAGTCATGCTTTTTGAAAATTATAGATGTTGTATGTATTTAAATGATAACTGTTGACTGTGGCACAGTGTTCTTTTTGAGGATCCTGTGTCAGGAAGTGACATGTTGAGAGACAGGACATTTTGAAAAGCTTTTATTGAAGCGCCTTGGTTAACAACATGTTTCAGGTAATGCATGTCTTTTTTTAAAAAAAAACTTCAGTAATATTAAAATTCTATTTTTACAAAGGTAGGCTTGGATAAAAAAAACTCTTAAACACTGTCTATCTTTAAAAAAAATCTTAACTCAGTATCTCCTTAGGCACAACAGACACAGTCAATTCATAGAGAGGTTCTCATTTTCTTTCCAGAGGAAATGTTTGCACTACTTAGCTATATATAAAAATCCTATTGTTGGAAACTAAACAAACGTGTGAACGGCAAGATTTCTTTCACCTTGACTTTTAACCTTTTTTGCAGGTCTCTATAGCGACGTTGGTGAGGAGTGCTCTTCAGAGAAAGGCAGGATGATACTCTGCCACACCAATAAAGACCAGCGAGGCACTTCACAATGAAGACTTCTCACAAGGGTTGGGGGTTTGTGCCAATCTCCATTATCAGCATATTGCGAGAAGTAACTTTTAAATTTCACACCAGGGCCCTCTGCTGTGTCTGTGGACTGATTAAGCTTCTAGTTCGTATTGTTCTGTACTCTTTCTATGTAATTCCTATTCCATGGTCTTAAAGGTCACAAAGTTGCAGAGATGAGTGGTTATAAAGTTAAATTACCTCACTAGGATAAGGAAAGAGAGACAGGGAGAGAGGGAGGGAAGTCAGATGGAAGAAATGACAGAGAAGAGAGAGAGAGAGAGAGAGAGAGAGAGACAGAGAGAGACAGAGAGAGACAGAGAGACAGAGAGAGACAGAGAGGGAGGGAGGGAAGCAGGGAGAGAGAGAGAGAGACAGAGAGAGAGAGAGAGACAGAAAGGGAGGGAGGGAAGGAGGGAGAGACAGAGAGAGAGAGAAAGATGACTCTATGTCCAGATTAGCCCCTGACCATCAGGAAGACCACAGCTCAGGACTAGCCTCCTGGTTATCTAGAATCACAAAGCTGTGACCCATCTGAAGGGGTGAGACTCTGCTTTCAGTATTGTTCAGGTTCAAGGCTCCCTATGATTGAGAGCAGCATTGAAGGGGGACTTGTCAGCATTCATTCTGTCCCACATGCTTTCCTTTGCTGCCACACGATAGCAGAGCTGTCCGTATCGTAAGAGGCTTAGCGGAGCTACTGGACAGGACTGGGTAAAATTATGATGGTTTTGTTTGTGTGTTTACGCTTGAGCAGCAAGACATACCACGTAGGTTCCTCTTGATCATCTTCTTATGGACTTTTCAGAGTATCTTCCCCTAAAAGAGGGTTTTAAAGGCTGTTCAAACGACTGGTACCTATTTAAAAAATAATTGTGCCTTCTCCAGAGGCTATGGCATTTGAGGCCATTATTCTCACAAATGTCTATTGGATTTTTATATATGTAAATGACTCGGTATTTCCCATTTCAGAGACACATCACAGTACCCTTCAGGAACACATTCACCTCCACCCAGTCAGCAAATCTGTCTGGAGTGACTACATATGTGCTGTTTCCCGCCAAGTAAATGGTTAGAGTGTCTCCTTGCTATTGTCTACAAGCTTGGAGGTCTGTGCTGGTCCACTCAATGAAATATATTGGGGCAGCTTTATGAGATTCAAACACAAGAAATTTCAAATACTGCTGTTGCTAGTAAGAATCACACATTTCCGGTCCAGCAAAATAAAATAAGATAAAATAAAAAAAGTCAGTACGAGAAAGAACATAAATGTGCATCGCTCTACCCATATTCACTAAGTCTCTCCCACGGTTTAAACAAGAGCATCATGGGAGCTTGGGTTCCTTTCTGTATAGCTTGACTTCTCAGAGATTTGGAGTCTACTTAAGGCAACTTTATTTCCTAGTACCTCTATTGGTAGCTTCTTGTTTTCATTTGTTGTTGCTGTTGTTTGATGAGGTTCTATGTCATGTTGGGCACTTTTGTAAATATATTTTCTCTGAGAATCCTATAGATAAGGTGATTATAGAAAGTCAGAGGCAATTCTGAAACAGAGACCAAATGAAGCCACAGGCCTTTTAAAGACAGTGTTTGTCAAGGTCCTTTAAAAACATCACCTGGTAACCTTCATATTCCAAGCAGATTGAAACGAGGTATATCTACACCTGTTTCTAGATCTTTTCTTTGTGTTCCTTTTAATGGGCAACACCTGCCCACCAAATGTTAAACAGAATACATGATTTTGAAACATGTCTGTAGCTAGCAATATTGCTTTACAGAGGCAAAAAAAAAAAAAAAAAAAAAACGGGCGTACCTACCCTAGAGTGATGGAAAGACCGGTCTACATCTAATTCCACCCCACCTTATGCTTCACAAATTCCCTGAGGAGTTCGACTTTTCACATTTGTCATAAGAAATTTGGCAGGACACTCAGGCCTTTAGGCACTTGGGGGATATTATAGGCTCAGGAAATTTATAATTAACCCAGTTCCTCCCACATCTTTGATGACTGCCTAATAATGTGGGAAGCTGACTCAGAAAAAAAACTGGTTGCTGAAGCCATTCTGTCTAAAGAGACGTATCTATCAGAAATGCAAATTTATGAATTTAGAAGGAGGGGACAGAATGCTGCAAGTAACACCCCCAGACAGAGGTGTCAGCCGTCTCTCCCTATGATGTAGACCGTCACTACACCATAGAATTGCCAGGGATGCCAAACCGTTGGCCTCTGGCTCTGCTATTAGCCTCCAACCCTGGCTTTTCCTAGATTCAAGGGTGCCTGCTTCTCTGCTGGTGGCATCGTGACTGCACACCAGCCACTGCTTGTTCAGAGGGATGGAATAATAGGGCATTTTGATGCATGGTTACATTCTTATTTGCTGCTTATTGTGACAAGGCTTCTTCCGGTCAAGGGCTGGATCATAAATGTAAAGCTAGGTCTATTTCACCTATGTAAGCATCGCCTGGATTGGACATGCATGCCCAGCACTCTAGAGGTTCCCAGTGCCTCTTCTGGGCAATCAATATGGTGTCCCTAAGAGAGCCTCTTCTGAACCCTGTCTCCCTGGATGACTCGATTATATTTTCAACCAGCTCATCTTGATCTCATTAGAAAAGACCTTTAATCTCATTTATGTCCCATCCCCATTATAGAAATCATCTGGGTAAATGTTTTTATAAAAGATTATCTTCATCTGACTTGTGCATTCAACCTACACCAGAAAACCATTCTTAAGTGGGCATAGTAGCTTCAGCCTGTCACCCAGGCCTGAGAAACGAAGACTTGGGGGAGGGGGGTGCTACAAGTCCAAAGCCAACCAAATGACCCCAGCACTCAGCAGGCAGAGTTAGGCAGATCTGTGAGTTTGAGGCCAGCCTGGTCTACAGAGTGAGTGCCCAGGACAGCTGAGGCTACACGGAGAAACCCTTGTCTCAAAAAAGCAAAACAAAAGAATCCCAAAACCCAGCCACCCTGGGCTACACAGTCAGGTCCCAAACAAACAAACCAAATGAAATACATTAAAACGCGCAGAAAAGTTGGGGTCTGTTGGAGTGGCACCTACTACTGTCAAGTTGGGTAACCTCAAGCATCTTTATTGTGTACAGCACGGGGTGGGGGGGCGGGGATTAGCTAGTCTCAGTAAGGAGGGCTGTAGATGAACAGTCTCAGGCTGGAGACCTCTGAGGGGAGGTCCCAGCAGCTTCAAGTTTTCGCAGACACCAGTCACCCACTTGCACCCAGGGTCCCAGGGAAAGTGATGTCATTCCTCCGACCCTCATCCAGAGGACGCTTTTCTAGTCCCATGCGGCTGAGGCAGTGGGGTTCTTGACATGGCTACTCAGGACCTCGCTCACTGGGGGCTTGCTCTGCTCCCTACAGTCGCCTTAGGTTTTGTCTTGCACAATGGACATTCGCCGGCCTTCTTCTTACCTCGTATCCCTTGTCTCCTGCTGCTGGCGCTGTTATACGTTTTCAAGAGAAAAGAATTGAGGTCTGTAACAGACAGGGCAAACCTATGAATGGGGTGGGAACCAAGGTGGGTTGCCAAGGAGAGTACACCGGAGCGGCGTGCCCTGAAAATCAGCATCTTCTTAAGGGTTACTTAGGCAGGGAGAGAAGTCGGAAGGCGCACCGGAGGACCACCATCGGCAAAAACGGGACGAATCACGGGGAAGTCGTGAGTTAGGAGTCTGTGAACCTTGCTCGTCCCCAGTGAGTCAGTTCACTCACCGGCCATCACGATCTCTTCAAGGAACCACGGCTGCTGCGGTTCTTTCAGGACTGGCATCTGGAGCAGAAGCTGTGGTGTGCACTGGTACAAGTCCTCTTGTCCAAACTGTCTTTCTGCATCAGCGGTCTACACAAACGTGGCCTATCAGTTTATACAGCATGCTTGTGTACAAGCACTGTAGACGCTATGCGGGGACCGAAGCCAGCAACACCAGAAAAACGATTCAGAAACCCTGCGGACCAAGGCCTCACAACGAGGATTCCTTTTCTCCTTTTTTTCCAAACAAACACGAGCAACACGACGCCCAGCGTTCAACAGAACACTTTCAATTATTTCCGTGTTTACTACTTACTAATGAGAGTGCTAGGCTGCTAATGTTCTCATGCAATCAGTAAAGGGGATAGGTTTTATAAATGAATTCCCAAAGTATATTACTGTTCCTTTTTTTCCCCTGTGTGTTGTTTCATTGCAGCATATTTCTGCTAAGGTCTACTTTTCCGTAGAGAACTTAATCCCTAAATTTAAACAAAAGTAGCTACAAAGGTTGTTTCTCACTGTTTAACATAGGACTCACAAACTTCACAGTTTATTCCTAGAATGTTCTATGAATACTGCAGGTAAAACTGATACTATAGAGTAGCTGTAATATCTAAAAAGCAGACTTTTAAGAAAGTCATAAATTTTCCAAAAAAAATTTTTTTTTTTGGTTTTTCGAGACAGGGTTTCTCTGCATTGTTTTGGAGGCTCTCCTGGAACTCTCTCTGTAGACTAGGCTGGCCTCGAACTCACAGAGATCTGCCTGCCTCTGTCTCCTGAGTGCTGGGATTAAAGGCGTGCACCACCAACGCCTGGCTCAAATAAATTTTTTACATTGGTATATTTATTTTATGTGTACATGTCTTGTGCATATGTACCATGTGCATGAACCACAGAAATTTAAAAAAATATTTATCCTTATTTTATGCATATGAGTGTCTTGCATGCACACATGTACCCACAGAGGCCAGGGGAGGATATCAGATGCCCTAGAACTGGAGTTATAGATGGTTGTGAGCTGTAAAATGAACACTGAGCACCAAACCCAGATCCTCTTCAAGGACAACAGGTGTTCTCAACTGCTGGTTTTTTTTCTCAAGCCAGGCAATTTTATGTTTTCAGACAGAGTCTCATGAAAGCTACAAGGTCAAGGACGACCTTGAATTTCTGATCCTTCTGCTTCGACCCCCTGCATGCTGAGATTACAGGTATGTGTCACGTCTGGTTTATCCTATGTGGAATATCAAACCCTGGGCTCCCCTACATGTTAGACAAGCACTCTAACTGAGGACTACATCCTTAGCCCTCAGAGCAACTTTAAGAATAAGAACTTGAAGTGAATCAGCGTGGTAACTTTCCTACTTTAAAAAGCCAGTGCCGGAGAACAATTCTGAAAGGAGTAAGAATATCATAGAAGTTTTACAGGACCATCCTGAGAACATATGAAGGGAAGAAATTACATAAGTCTTGTAATTAATATTACTAAGCTCTCTTGAGGTACTTCCT